AATTTTAAGTAAGTTAAGTTGTTAAGTCCGTCAACCTTGTTTTGAAGGCCTGTTCGCAGGCTAGAACAGCTTTAAAACAAGATGGCGTCTTTCGAAAAGCTTTCAAGAGTAGTAATCATTAGTAATCGTGGTATTAAACTATTAATAGACTTTATCCTGACTTTATTTTGATAAAATCTTCTTCTATAGCAGTCTTGCACTGATATAACTCTTACAGTCAAACCGGATGTTCTGTTCCCATGAGTATTGCAACATTGCAATCAATCTTGCAATGTTGATTGCAAATTGCTCCGAGCAAATTACACGCAAGTATTCAACTGTCATTTTTTCAAGCTCCTATCACTCCCGTGTTGGGGAAAGGGAATAACAAATCAAAAGGACTAATATTGTGCCTACCACTTGACAAATTAAAGGTAAACTGGAATGTATAGAGGATATTTATACATGGTTGTGCGGAAATATGTAATTTATTTCGAGTGTTGAAGAGAACTATTGCTAACGAGTGAGCGTAGCAAATTGCAAGTTGTTCCATTATGTGATTTAATAATCTAAATTTTTGAGTAAGGTCATGGACATATTGTAATTATTATGAGTATTTACTATTTTATCTTCGTATCAAACCAAATATATAGCATTGCGAGCTTTACTTGGTATTAAACTCTGCCAGTTTGAGAACATATGTTTACATATTTAACTACCGCAAAATAAATCCCTCTTTGGCACTGAATTTTGCATGTTATTTAGTATTTTTGTATCACGTTAAGATCAAAATGGACATATTTCTTGAATAATACTTTTAATCTGTGAAATGATATATATAAAAATATTAGTCCTCATACTTCGTTTTGGATTTGTTACTCAGTTTTGTGATAGATAGGGGTACCAAAGCCTTGATATTTCCAGAGGTATTAAAATACAAAATTAGCCTGTGACAGTATGCTCCTGATTTTACTTCATACTCGATTTGGAGCAACACAAGTTCTACAACAAGAACGTACACGATGTACTGTGCAATTATAAAACGTCATATTTATAGATATTTGATTGACATGTTTACGCCATGCATTTCATACCGCACGGGTTTTCCCTGAGTTTTTATAAACAGGACCTGCATTTCCGGCAATTGTTTTATGGTTGAATCTTCACGAAACAATTACAAATTTTAAATAGACACGCAAATTATATTTGCGTATATATCTTGACTGTTATTTAATGGAGGCCTCTGAAACTAGGCTAAACTATGAAAACAAAGCATAGGATAAACGTAGCCCTGTTGTTTTAAATGTCAGAAACTATTATTAGCTCATGACTCCATGTACAGACGTCTAATCCCACGTCTTTAATAAATCCACACATTTTACAGCCTTAATTAACTATTTTCTTTAAATTGTTCTTAAAAGTAATGAACTGTATGAATAGCAGATATTTAGCTCCAGATAAAAAGAAACATTTTTGTATGATTGTTATCAGTTGCCGTGATTCGGGATATAAATGGTTCTCGTCCTCTTAATTTAGAAGTCACTAGTTAAATGTAAATATTATATCTGAAGCAGGCATATAATTTCAACTAGCACAATTTCGCACAATTGCTGTAAAAATGTCATTTCGAGAATGCACCATCAATGAATGCGAAACATTTCTACTTACTGCGAAAGCGGACAAAGTGGGACAATTCAATACAATCGCTCATGTGCAACCACCGTATTTCGCAGACACAAGCTCTCGCGACGAATTTCGCCGTCGTGGAATCAGACCTTAAGATTCAGACACACCGGACGCGCTTCGACAACGCGACGCGATTTTTCAGTATAATTAGTTTGAAAAACAGCCAATGAGAGCAAATCAGTTACAAACATATGTAGACCAAGTAACTTAGAATGTTATAGCGCTTCTAAATATTTGGAAAATATAAACTTGGATTAAATTTAACGGTCAGTGAAAATCGAAAAATCGCGTCGCGTTGTCGAATCGCGTCCAGCGTGTCTGGACCTTTAATGCGCAGATACATGTACGCGGTCGCGTACCTATTTTTTAATGTTTAAAGACCTTGTCAAGTTCGTTCTCCACATCAGTTCTGTTCATAACAAAGGGCGACCTACACTAATAAATATTGCCCAAATTTTGCACTTTTCGAACTGTTTTGAATTGAAACGTACTCTAGTTTATATTCATTTACAATAGCGAACCAGAAAACTGTTAGATATTTAGTTAATAGTATGTCTTATTTTACAAATATATAGCAGTCCAAAATATAAACAAAGCGTCGAAGGATTTATTTACATTACGCGGACTTGACATGCATGGTCTTCAAAAGTTTGAAGTACTATAGGCGAAGCCGAGTATCTTTTATAAGTCTGATAAAACACGCACTGCGGATGTAAATTTTATGTCTACAATCTAGATAAAGCATGAGCGGCCGTGTTGTATCAAATGTACAAACTTGAGCCAAAGACAAGAGGTACGTGTATGTCTGGGACAACAATGTCACAACATGTACGCGATACTTCGTATGACTTGTGATCAAACGTTTGAGAACATTCTTATTCTTCAACAATTTTAAATATTCAATGAATGATATTTGGTGAGAAAATTTAACTTAAAGTTTATCTAAATGAGTTTTTTTAGTACTATTTAATACATGATCAGCAGTGTTTTATCAGATATAAAATAGGAGGCGAAGCCGAATATCTTTACTCTTTAGGTCTGATAATAAAGAAGACATCGGCACTGTATTTTAAATTGCTTCAAAAACGATCGCTCCATACTACGGTCATTGGCGAAGTAATTTTCAAAAAATACGTTGTGTAAGTCGAGAAAATCAAAGTTAAAGTTTATGTAAATCAAGGGAAATCTCTATCACATGTAAACGACACGCTTATGTTATGATTTTTCTTTGTGTTTTCATCACAAATTTAATACGTTTTTAAAATGTAAATATCAGCCTGCGTAGAAGGCGGTATTTGCGGGCTTTTTTCCTGACTACGAACGAACTTCAAACTTTTATTTTCAAACTTTTATTTTCAAACTTTTATTTTCAAACTTTTATTTTCAAACTTTTATTTTCAAACTTTTATTTTCAAACTTTTATTTTTAAACTTTTATTTTTAAACTTTTATTTTCAAACTTTTATTTTCAAACTTTTATTTTCAAACTTTTATTTTCAAACTTTTATTTTCAAACTTGAACAGGAATATAAAGCCCTACTGTGAAATTCAGGCAAAAATATGTAAAATTCAAGTTAAAATTTTGACATTTTCAGGTAAAATTTGCGTAATAAAGTAATTATTTTTGTGAAATGATAACCATTTTTGTAAAATACAGTCAATTTGCATGATATTTGTTTGCGAATTTGCTTGAAAACACGCCAGAAATTCAGTCGTAGAATGTAAACATTTTCTGGGGGAGGACCCCCAGACCCCCTTTTTCTCCCGAAACTTAATATGAGAGTGCCAATCAATCACAAAAAGCTTTATTATTATTATTACATGTATAATCCCCCCCCCCAAACGTCAGATGCTTTGCTAGGTCCCTGATGGTTGTATTCGAAACCGATTTCAGTTTCAAGATATCCTTAGTCTGCTCTTCTATAAATGGATACATGAAATCACCTATAGCTCACTTAAATTTTTTTTGCACCAATCTAAAATGGTTTTTTTTAAAGGGTGCCATTTAATCTGGCGCTAGTGAGGTGAAAGAAGCAGTAGGTCGGTATTTTAGTTGAGGAGAAGTACATGCTTGAGTATATCAGACATCTTGAGGAGCTGCAAATTGTATATATGATGCCTACGATAAGAGGCATAATAAATGTAATTTCCCTAAACAGTGATCATGTATATATATTGTAGTATAAACTTGATATATGTACAATAAAGTATTCTAAACCAGAATGCGGTACACCACACACGTCGATTGGACAACTAGTAGCTTAAGAAAAGTTTTCCCGTCATATTCCCAAAAATCTCTATATTTAGCCACAGGTTCGATTCCTGTCAGTTGACAGCATTTTCGCAACTGCTCCTGTAGTTAAGTCTGTAGTTAAGTCTAAAATTGTATATATTGAATCTTTCGTTATAAATTTCCATCTACTGCATGCAGGATCGCCGGGAGAGAGGCAGAGTGGAACTTTATCTCGGGCGGGGCTCGCAAAACAAGGGACCCTTAAAATTTATTGATGCAAGATTGATGAACTCAGAATATAAATCCCAGTACCCAGATGAATAATACATCTAAAAGTCTCAAAAAATTAAGAAAATTGTCGGCAAAAAATAAACGATTTTATGTCCGCAAAATTTTTTCCGGCACCAAATTTCCGGCGCCAATTTTCCGGCGCCATATGTCGTGGAAATTTTTTGATCAAGATTATACGTATAGTGTAATTTACAGCATGAGTTCCACATTTGAATTTTATTATACCAGTAAATTGTTAAACGCACCCTTAACCTTAATTTTGTGTTACACAGCTTCGATCATGTTATATATACCCATTATCAGTAACCTTGCCCGCTCATTCAAGTGCTACAGTATGTATATCTATACTGAAAAAAAAATCAATCAAAAAATCAAAAAAATAAAAAAATACAAAAGTCAAAAAATCAAAAAATCAAAAAATCAAAAAATACAAAAATCAAAAAATCAAAAAATACAAAAATAAAAAAATAAAAAAATAAAAAAATACAAAAATCAAAAAATACAAAAATACAAAAATCAAAAAAATCAAAAAATACAAAAATCAAAAAATCTAAAAATACAAAAATCAAAAAATCAAAAAATACAAACATCAAAAAATCAAAAAATCAAAAAATCTAAAAATACAAAAACTGTTTTTTGCTGTCGCGTCTGGGCCGCCGTAAAATCTGTCTTCGTTCCCAAAGCCCCGTTTACACGACAGTCATTTTGGGCACGGCAAGCTAATTAATTTTGGCACGCGGACCCATTTTCTTGGGCACGGCACTCGATTTTTGTCGTGTAAACGCAAAATTAAAGATTTAAAGGTACCCAAAATTTTAGGCGGGCCGAGACTTCCGATCCTCGGAGGTAGTCTCGGCCCGTCTAAAAATGGGTCCGCGGACCAAAAACTTGTTACGCACGCGTTTTGTAGTCACATTGCAAAAATATTATGTCTGTACAAACAAAATATCGAGGGAAAATGTGGTCAGACGAAACCATATACAAGAGCTCCGATATATATTATGGTCATGCATAAAGTAAAGAAACTAGTATTCAACTGCATGGTATTCTCAGGGCCGCCCAGAGGTTGGCGGGGGCCCGGGGCAAATTTTTTTTAGGGGCCCCTATCTAAAAAAATTTTCCCGGAAAAAAATTTTTCCGGATAACAACCTCCCCCCCCCGTCGCCAAAAAATTTTCGGTCAATGTACCATTTTAGGGGTAAAATTTTTTTCCCGGAGTACTAGAAAATTTTGCCGGACGAGTACGTTGCAAATGCTTTCCAGGGACTTTATCTCATTTTTTTATGCCAAAATTCGGTACTTAGCCCAAGAAAACAGATATCTTGTCCTTTGCGCGGAAATATTTAACACACAAAACCCCCCTTTCCCCCCCCCCCCCCCCCTCTGGGCGGCCCTGGGTATTCTTGCTACACTCAAGTCAAAGCCCACAGCAAAGCGAAGAGAAAAGGAACTGTTATTAAGCTTATTAAGCAGTTTAAGAATGCTGATATATGTGATGGTGAAGATTATTGTTACTGTTTCGTAATTATTAACAAGTGCATCGGCTATCGGTCAACCGATTCACCATAATCATGCAGTGAGCCTACAGCGAATCATTGTTGTAGTATAAATTTTCAACGCGCTATTACACGCTGAACAGTTAGATGAAAACAGAAATTCTTTCCTTCACATCCCAACAGCCCTTTTGTACATAACGTGCTTTCATTACACATATCAATATCAATATCACATATAATAAAGGCTTATTTACCGAGCGTGAGGTCTCTAGTGCAGTGTGAAATATCAGACCAAGGGTTTTTCCATGCAATAAACAGAGGTCTGATATTTCACAGTACAGACCGAACAAGCGAGGTCAATAATCGGTTTATTATATGGCTGAACTGAGTCTGTGAACATATGCTTTTCGGCGTGAATTAAATCGGCTATCGTCCGTTTCAATGGGTAACAATATACGGTAGGCATGCATGGTCAATCAAAAACAATTTGATTGGTTGTTTGAAATTTTTATCTGTAATTAGCACAATTGGAAATTTAGAAAGCAAAATTTTTTTCTGTTTGCAAAGCAAAAATGTCCCGCCAGATAAACGACATCCGGGACACCGGTCCAGATACGGAAAATACGGACCACAGTTCGGATATGGGTTTTTAAGGACCGCTTGTCAACCAATCAGAATAGAGAATTTTGAAAAGCCATATAATAATATCGCATATTACATATACAGGGTGTATAAAAAAAAACTGAACAGATTTGAAATTGCTCTCAATTTCGCAAAACACCTATTTGTATCTGGGTTTTATATATATAGCTTCTTTGGGTACTTATAATGTCGAATAATGAAAAAAATTTCTCGAACTCAAATTTTGTGAACCAGGGGGGTGTGTCTTTACCAAGAAACTAAAAATGGCTCGCGCACAAAATTTAAAAGCCGTAATCATAGTTTGAGTTAATAGATGGAAAATTTGTCGGGTTTTTAATTACTGTACAAAATTTCAGACAATTTGGTTTAGTTTACTGTCGTTCCAATTGAAGTGTTCCTCAAATATTGATTCAATACATTACCTCAAGCTGACCAATTTGTTTCATCAAGTTCCTCGAGATATTCATACACTTCCTGCGAAAAAGCCAATTCCAAGTATTTGATCATTTCTGGTCACTTCCTTTCTATTTATGATTGGTTAGTTGCACAAACAGCAAAGGTGATTGGTGCATTCAAACTATTCAACAGGAAATTTACAATTATACTAGGAAGTGTATGAATATTTCGAGGAACTTGATGAAATGAATTGGTCAACCCGAGGTAATGGTTAGATGGAAAACACGGAGTCGGAGTTCCGGAGTCCCGGAGCCTCGGAGTCGGAGTCCCGGAGTCGGAGTCCCGGAGTCTGACGTCATAAAAATATGGAAAACACGGAGTCATATGGAAAACACGGAGTCTGACGTCATAAAACATATGGAAAACACGGAGTCATATGGAAAACACGGAGTCTGACGTCAGAGAAAAATATGGAAAACACGGAGTCATATGGAAAACACGGAGTCCACCATAAAATATGGAAAACACGGAGTCTGACGTCAGAGAAAAATATGGAAAACACGGAGTCTGACGTACTGTCAGCGTGAAATATGGAAAATAGTAATTAAATAATATATCATTTATGCGAAATATATTAACGAATTGGAAATTTTCTGCACTAATTCTGGTATTTCTCTAAAATGTCGTGAAAATATGGATTATTTATTTTTAAATACAATCAAGCAAATAATATTGTTTCTCTTGTCGTGTGACTTGTTCAGTTGTACAATAATTTGAAGTGATTTTAATGCGGATTTTGTTCACCTCGCATGGTATGTTGATAAAAATATAGTTTATATAGGGCCATTCCATTTAATGTCCACACCCCCCCTACGGATGAGTTTTTCTGAAGGGTGACTCAAAAAGTCGTTTCTGAGGGGTTAAGCATGTCGGCATCCTTTGATCTCTGCAATTTTTCTGAGGGGTAAGGGGAAAATTTACAAATTTCTGAGGGGTGTTTTGTGTCGGCACTTTGATCTTTTTTTCTTAGGGGTTAAAATTTTACTGACCTCATCCGTAGGGGGGGTGTGGATATTAAATGGAATGGCCCATACTTAATACTGCTAGAATATTTCATAGTTGATTAGCATGTAATATTTATAACACACAATATCTTGACACAAAACAGATATGCTGCTTGGAAACAGCATTGCTATTTAGGCCACATAAGTAAATATAGAAATTTTGTATTTCATATTAAAAGTATTACTGACAATGCTTTTGAAAGGGATAATTTTAAGTGAAACCCACCTGTTGTGGACTTAAAATAAAATTGTGAACTGATGATGCAGAACCACTGGGATAGGGATATTGCTAGGAATACTGCCAGGGATACTGCTAGGGATTGTGGCGCACTAAATTTACTATTATGGATTGTTTCATTATAAACAGTACTGGAATACTCTGAATGGTTGTACAATAAGCAAAATTTGCCTTAATGAAGTAAGCCAGTATCTAGGCTGGCTTGCATTACATATAAACATCCCCTATAATTCTACTATAGTTGGAAAAAATTAAGAAGTAAATTTCCCTTCAATATATGCAATTTGTAGTTATAGTTGTATATATATATATATAGGCACAAAAATGGCTGAAATAGTTTAAAATTCAATAAAATGTCATTGGGTCATTCCAGAAAACATCCATACCACCCCCACGGAGGAAATTGGAAGTTAACCCCCCTACCCCCTTCAGATGTCCTAATACATTTACTATTACCAGAAACAATTTTGTCTCCCCTCCCCCTCCGGACAGCAGAAATTTTCTCTGTGGGGGGAGTGTGGATCTTTTCTGGAACGACCCATTGTGTTGACATGAAAATATTCTACCAACTGTTTTTGTAGCCATAGGTGTTAATTTAAACCATGCAATTAATGCTCAATATATCTTACATAGATTCATAGTGACATACCAGTCTATGCCACTACACCCGTACTGCAAATCTGCATTCATAGTTCATACGATTGAGCATCTCATGGTTTAAATTAACACCTATGGCTACAAAAACAGAATATTTTCATGTCAGCACAATGACATTGTATTGAATTTTAAACTATTTCAGCCATTAATTTTTGTGCCTATATATACAACTAACTACAAATTGCATATATTGAAGGGAAATATATTTCATTCTAGATTTGTTTTACTTCTTAATTTTTTCCAACTATTGTAGGATTATAGGGGATGTTTTATATGCAATGCAAGCCAGCCTAGATACTGGCTTACTAAATTCACTAAGGGTCTGTTTATATGGAAGCCGAGCTGGCCCGCTAAGCGAGACAGCCCGGTAAGCGAGATCTCGCTGTGTAGTTATTTTTATAGTAAAAATTATTGTGCATTTATATGGACTCGCTTGAAAGAGGTGAGATCTCGCTACCGGGATGGAAATTTCTCCATATAAACACATTCACAAGCAGGCTAGGCTGGTTGCCGTGATGAAAGTTAAAAAATACCGCAGCAAGCTATTTTTAACAACTGTCAAAACAATACAATGTAACAAAATTCTCATATAAACATGAGAGAAATTCATCCCGCTTACTGGGCTGTCTTGCTAAGCGGGCCAGCCCGGCTTCCATATAAACAGGCCGTAAGGCAAATTTTGCTTATTGTACAACCATCCAGTATGAGCATTCCAGTATTTATAATGAAACAATCCATAATTGATATTTGACAAATCAACCATTTGCCTATAACTACATGAATGTGGCAACACTATTATTCTGTTCTTTATAACTTAATTGCTTGGACAAAAATCTACTAAAACAGTAAATTTAGTGCCCCACAATCCCTAGCTACCAGTGGTTCTGCATCATCAGTTCACAATTTTACTTTTAAGTCCACAACAGGTGGGTTTCACTTAAAATTATCCCTTTCAAAGCATTGTAATACTTTATGAAATACAAAATTTCTGTATTAACCCTTTAATTATAAGTGACAATATATGTACCCAGATGTACCCTACTTTATATTTTACTCTGCCTAATACCAGACGATTTTACAATGGTATCATGCAATTAAGCCTGGAACAAATGGTCAGTTATAAATACCTATCTTGATCACTCAAATATCAATGGCTTGATTAATTGCAACTTAATTATGATATTGCATGATATTTAATTCAGTATAAAAACCTAAAACTTATATGTTAGAGATATTAACTTGGTATGGGCTTACTTAGTGATAGTGCAGGTATTTTTTTGGACACCTGAAAACTTTTTTAATGCCATTAATATACTGCACGGATTTGTGTGTTGGCTGGCTGCATCTATTTATTAGTAAATAACAATATTGCACGCTGTTTCCAAGCAGCATATCTGTTTTGTGTCAAGATTTTGTGTGTTATAAATATTACATGTAAATCGACTATGAAATATTCTAGCAGTATTAAGTATATAAACTATATTTTTATCAACATACCATGCGAGGTGAACAAAATCCGCATTAAAATCACTTCAAATTATTGTACAACTGAACAAGTCACACGACAAGAGAAACAATATTATTTGCTTGATTGTATTTAAAAATAAATAATCCATATTTTCACGACATTTTAGAGAAATACCAGAATTAGTGCAGAAAATTTCAAATTCGTTATATTATAAATTCGTCCGTTTGTTTATATTCGCATAAATGATATATTATTTAATTACTATTTTCCATATTTCACGCTGACAATACGTCAGACTCCGTGCTTTCCATATTTTTCTCTGACGTCAGACTCCGTGTTTTCCATATTTTATGGTGGACTCCGTGTTTTCCATATGACTCCGTGTTTTCCATATTTTTCTCTGACGTCAGACTCCGTGTTTTCCATATGACTCCGTGTTTTCCATATTTTTATGACGTCAGACTCCGGGACTCCGACTCCGGGACTCCGACGCTCCGACTCCGGAACTCCGACTCCGTGTTTTCCATCTAACCCTGTAGAACGTTGAGTGGGAGGAAACTGACAGCCATTGCTAAAGCTATCAATGTGGGGGGCGTAACTGTTTTCGTGCCACCATTTTGATGTACATTGTGCGCATTGATGTACATATACCAGAACCCAGAAATGTCATAATATGAAAGTCTGTAAACTTTGCTCTGATGTAATCAGTGTAGTCAACTTTGTAAGTTGGAAAGCTGCAGGTTCTTCTCCAGTAGGTTGACTGAGACTTGAGATGAGTCATTTGAGAGAGACTCGTATTGGCCCATGCGGCTCATGCGGTAGAGGTTCCAGTTAGGCAATTTCTCGTTCACGGGCTGGTCGTCTTGCATTGGTTTCTGTGCGGTTTTCTCCACGTCTCTGTTCTCCAAGGCGCAAGACATTTAGAGACCTTTAGATTGACGTTTACGGCAAACGTAAAATACGGGCTATTTTAAAAAAAATACACTTCAAAGTCAAGCTATTTTTACATATTTTCAACACTTGTCAAATTTCGCGAGCTTGTATTTTGAACTTAAACCGCTGAAGTTACATTAAGAAAAATAGGATGGAAAATTTGAGGCATATAAAATAAATTTCAACTTACATTTCATTCTCATATCACGTTTTTCTTCGATTATTACGGTTTCAAGCAAGCCATAGCTCGAGGTGTATGGCATTTGCTCCCATGTTCACGTCGCCATATTCACTTCCAATCACTCGATTACAAAAAACCCATCCCAAAACAAAGAATTCATGATCGATTTTTAAAAGAACAAGACGCTCTGTAGAGCGATCGAACGGTGGTATTTTTATCCTTTATGTATTGCGCCATAAATTTATACAAATACAATATCATGTTTCACACTACAGCTTTCACCTTTCAGTTTCCACAATATAAAGGGACTGTTGTTGGAAAAATTTTATATTGATATGACACCAATATGCTTCTCATAAAGTATTTATCTATTATAAAACTACGTTGTGTAGTTTAAGTTATAACCTTTTACCTTGAAATTGTATTTGGCTCGTTTTAATAGATTCAGATTCAGTATATCATGGTCCGTGCACGGGAATTTAACGATCCAAATTTCGGATTTTCAGAGTCGTGCACCAAGAAAAATGCATTAACTAAACTAGCAAGAATGTCCAGAGTTAGACACAATGCAAAATCCATAGAAAACAGGTACAATTCGTTGAAAATTTTAACGAAATTGTTTGAAACATTTGCCCACTCCACGAAATTGTTTGAAACATTTTTACTTGCTGCTGTTTCCATGTCGATATTCCTTGTAAAATTGTTCAATTTCCCCGAATTTTCCTCAAAATGGAGGGCTTTTATGGATAATTTGGGTCAAATTGGCAGGAGCCTTATGGATAATTGGGGGAAAATTAGGCAGCTCATTAATATTCTATTTTGTGGCTATCGACGATGGAGATCCATGATCCGTGATCCGTGAAAAATGCAAGCCGAAACCTATGCTCGTCCGGGCCACAGTGCCCCAGCGAGTAATTATCGTAGTATAAGTTGAGATAAATAATGTTCCAACTAACTTGGGTTAGCGCATATGTCAACACAACTCTCAAAAAGTGTAAAATTACAGTAGTACTAATATTCATGAGTCATGACAAGTCATTGAAGAGGGTTTCTGTGTTACCCATGCTCTACTATAGTCTCCAAGGCAGACAAGACTCTTTGTGTGTCAGTACTCAATATTGAAGATGTAAAAACTTGCCAATAAGGCCATAATTGCTTCAAAACAACTGTTGCTTGTTATGGAACTTCCATCCTTTTCTTCGATAACGTATGATTGACAGTTTCTAGTCGTATTCTAGTTCGCTGCCAACGGCTACAATATATGGGTTGTGATAAGTTTGAAATTGTATCATTTGCATCTTCGGACTCCTACAAAAAAAATACAATTAGAATGTATGCAATATTCCGCAATTACAGAGGGTTATAGGACATATAAGATATAAAGCCTCACCAAGAGAGATAAACCCAATAATAAAGCTCTTACATACATCAGACACAAAATACCTGAAAAAGTAAATCACACCCCTATAAGTATAACCCTTCCAAAAGCATTAAGTATAACATATCAATATACAGTAATATTTTGAAATATCAAAATATATGCTGCCCCACAACAAACTCTTCTAAAAATAAGCTCACTATAAGCACACAAATTTAATATTATTCAAATTTACACTATACTGTATCATAAGTAAAATAAATACAAAATTGGAAACATGAATTTCCATAGCGTGGTACAAGTGATTTAGGGAGACTGCATAAAAACATAATACATGATATGCGCTCTCCCCTTTACGAGTAGAATAGGCGTTCGACAGAGTAGAGTAATAAAGTTCAAAATCATTTTGTTTGAATTACTTCACCTAGCTATCTATTTGTTTAAAATTAAAATTATGTATGGTAGATTCTGTGGTATGAACACTTACAAAATTACTCTAATTACTCAACATAATGTCTCAAAATTAAAATGTTGTGACATTATGTTGCCTTGACAATGCTTGACACAACGTGAGCCTGCGTTCAGTGCTGGCCAATTGCTAATACTTCATGTTAAATCAATGCTTGGAAAATATAGGTTAGGGGTTGCTCCATGCATTTATTTCTAGTTAAATATTAATTGGACATACCCATTATAATGTTGTCTATAACATTGTTATCTATGCTTTCTTTAATAATCTCTAACAGAACATAATCTTACAGTTGCATCTATATCGCCATCTTGCTTACTTCCTCGTGGTCCATAATTAATGTTAATTATGTTAATTATGCTAGACACTACATCCCTCCTTTTCTCAGAGTTTTTCACAATTGCAGTTCGTTGTTAATCATCTACCACTATATCTATGTGTTGGTATTTAACAAAACAGAATATGAATGCTAAGACAAATTGTTGATTGTCCAACAAGTTATATGACTGTCACTGTCAGCCCTTTCGATTTACAATAAGGCTTAATGATAATAGTTCGGCCTTCTTCGTTCTCTCCTTGGATATTGTCGTTCTAGATTTTGTTGTTCATCTTGGTTGTGATTGTTGTTATTTTCATTGTCTCCAATATCACGTTGTTCTTCATGTTCATCACTATCTTCCATTTCCTCCTCATCTTCAGAAGACAGCCCAGTTGTTTTAATAGGTTTGAAAAACGATTGGTTTCTAGTAACAGCGAATCCTGGTCTTTCTGCAGTAATCATCGTTCCTTTTACTGTGATTATTCGTAGCGGTTTGGGATCAAAATTCGGGGTAAATTTGTTGTGCTTTTGTTGTCTTACGAGTACATAATCACCAATATTCATGGTTGTCGTCTTACTTTGTCTCCGTCGATCTGCGCATTCTTTCATGCGTTGTCGTTGTTCTTTATCGCGTTGTTCGACGGAATGATCAAGGGCATTCTTGTCGGTTTTAGTGTCAGTCTGAGGTAATCTTGTGCGGGTGTTCCTACCAAACATGAGTGTGGCCGTTGCAACTTGAGTTGTGGTATGGGGAGTAGCTTTGTAATTTAATAAGAATTCCTGCATGGTGCGGCGCCAGTTTTGCTTTTGCAGATGAGCAGTACGAATGGCTTTCATCAGTGGTTTCATGAAAGTTTCGCTTTCATTTGCTTGTGGCCATAATGGAGTGATTGTTTTGTGTTGAATGCCATTGTCATCCATGAATTTCTTTATTTCTTTGCTCTGAAACGGTGGACCATTGTCCGAGATAACTTTTTTTGGTAATCCAAATGTGGCAAAGATCTCGTCTAAACATGGAATTAGGTGAGGAGCATCCGTTTTCTTCATAATTTTTGTTACCGGATATCGGGAGCGTCCATCTATTAGGACAAAGAGTGTTTCTCCACTTGGTAACGGACCCAAAAAGTCAATGTATACAGTGTCAAAGTTCTCCTTGGGTATTTCGCGCATTAACAGAGGTTGTGGTGGTTTTGGACGTCCAGTGGCTTGGCATGGTATACAGCTGTCGATAGCAGATTTGACAAGTGAATCAATTAAGGTGAACCAAACTTTTTCTCGCATTAGGCTCTTCGTTTTAACTATGCCTTGGTGGCCAACATGGGCTAAACGTATGGCATCTGCTCGCAAGCTTTTTGGAATAACAATGCGTGTGTCTCGTAAAATGATGTTCTTATCATTAGATACAGTTAATTCATCTTTGATATTACGGAGTAACTTTAGTTCACGAATATCAATGTATGTGTCTTTGGAAAATGTTGTGGTGTCTAACGTATGCCATAAGTTTTTCTGTATTATGTGTGCAGCATGTTGCAAAGTTGGGTCATTTTGTGTTGCTTCTCTGATTTGTTGAAGGGTCATTGCTTTTGGGGTTGTTGATTCCGCAATGAACTGAATATAATATTCAGAGTTTTCATTGTCTTGTGATGTCATTGAGGTCGTATTCATTGGGTGTCTTGACATGTAATCGGATGGGTTATCGTGGCCAGGGCGATAGTGAATTTGGAAATTGTACGACTGTAGGCGTAAACGCCAGCGTTCTAGTCGTGCAGGGCAATGTGAATTTGAATTCTGAAAAATCGATACTAATGGTTTATGGTCTGTGTAGATTGTGAAATGAATTCCATAGAGAAATAAACGAAAATGTTCGCAGCCAAAAACAATTGCCAATGCCTCGCGTTCTGTCTGACTATATCTTTGTTCTACTTCTGTAAGAGCACGACTGCCATATGCAACGACAGTTTCGTAATTTTGGCTGGGGGTATTTTGTATTAATATTGCCGCTAGACCAGTGGGAGAGGCATCTACAATGAGCTTGGTGTCTTTTGAAGGGTCAAAGTATGATAAAGTGGTTTTTCGTTCAATCTTTCTTGTAATGTATCAAACGCACGTTGTTGTGATTCTTTCCATTCGTATTTTATGTCCTTCTTTGTAAGTTTACGTAATGGGGCAGTCAGTGTTGCAAGATCTTGAATAAATCTGCCGCAATATGTTATCATTCCTAAATAGCTACGAAGTTCAGAAACATTCGCTGGAGGTTTTAGAGACTTGATCGCTTCGATCTTTTTAGGACATGGGGATATACCCTGCTTCGAGAAAACATGACCATAAAACGTGATGCTTGGTTTATCAAATTCACATTTG